AAAAGAGCCACAGATGTAAAGAACAGACTTTGGGACTCTATGGGAGAAGGCGAGGGTGGGATGATCTGAGAGAATAGCACTGAAACGTACATCATCATACGTGAAATAGACTGCTAATCCAGGTTCGATGCATGAGACAGGGTGCTCAGGGCTGGTGCACTGGGATGACCCTGAGGGATGGGATGGGGAGGGAGGTGGGAGGAGGGTTCAGGATGAGGGATACATGTACACCCATGGCTGATTCATGTGAATGTATGGCAAAACCCACCACAATATTGTAAAGTAATTAGCTTCTAATTAAATAAAAAATAAATAAAATAAAATTGGGCAGTGTAGCATAATTGAATCTTGAGTTTGGAAGACTTAGGGGTCTAATTTTTCTCCCCTCTTCTACCTCCTCAAGCCTAGTATTTGGATACCTCTGTGAAAATTGGCAGGTGGTCATCCAATCTCTGCTGGGAATTCGGAGACCTGGGGATTGGGCTCTAGAACTAGCTGTGTCGCTAGTCCAGACAACTCAACCACTGCAAGCTCCAGTTTCTTCTCTTGTGAGACATTGGCTTTCTATCTGACCTGCCCAGTTGTAAACTCCCTTCTTCACCCCCCTCCCAGCAAACAGGCAGCCCCAACTTACAATGGATCCTGCTCCAGAAGATTGCTGAAGCCTGGTATTCAGGACTCAGAAAAGATTTCTTGTTGAAAGAGTATAAATGATGATTGGGATCTCAGGTTTGTCCACACCACTCTATTTCATTTATAATGCTGTTAAATTATGATATTTGTCTAAGAGTGAAAGAGAGGAAAAAGAAATTACTTTTCCCCTTTTCTGGATGCAAGTCAACACTAGACAAAGCTTTGAAATATGTACAATTTATTGGGATGGCCAAGAAGTTCATTTGAGTTTTCCCTTAATATCTTATACCAAAATTCAAATGAACTTTTTGGCCAACCCAATATTTAGGCACCCCCTCACTTCCTTTCCTTTTTCTCTCTACTATCTTCTAGTGTCCCTTACTCTGTGTCCATAGACTCCACCTGTCATCCCATTCAGGATCTCATCAAACTCTCTGCAAAGCCCTGAGCTTTTTTTTATCCTCTCCATTCTGACCCATCTCACTCCATCCCCTGTCTCCAACTCCTCTAGTCCCCGAGCCCCCACCTGGGTCATCTCAATAAACTTCCACTCCCTCAGTGAAGCAGTCCTCAGACAGATTAGTGAGAAGGAAATCCGATTTAAATGATGTATGAACACCTAAGCACAATAAGAGTTGACGCTTAAGTAGTGCTGTGCTTGGCACTATTCTAAGCATGCATCAACGATTTAGATCCTCAACAATCCCAGGAGGGAGGTGCTATACTATCTACATTCCACAAATAAGGAAACAGGCACAGAAAATTTAGGTGGCTTGCTCAGAGTCACTGTGCTACAGTTAGTGATGGAGTTGGGTTCTGAATCCAGGCACCCTAACACAAATGGATCTCCACATTCCAGGCTGCATAACATACATGTGAAAAAATTATAGGAGTGTTAAAGAGGATTTTCTACCATAGCTGGCCACTGAACCAGGGTGGTGAGAGCAAATGCTTTGCAGGGCCCGAATAGATAATGAAAAGGCATGAAATAGGGGCTTCACAGACACAATCTTCCACCCATCCATGGACAAAAACACTGGCTCCTGTTTTTCTTGGTTCTCCCATTCCACCTTTCTCTTCACAGAATTGTACAGATGATAAAACAAAGAATGGCTGACATTTCTAGTAACACACTTCAAAGAAAGATGATAGTGTCTTGCAATGATAAATGGCAAGCAGCGCTGGTTCCAGGTGTGTGAGGCCATCCCTATGGCAACTGGAGAGCCCGTGTGCCCTCTGGGAGGGTAGCCCTTCTCAGCCCTAGGTGATGCTTAGTTTTGCAGGCAGGTAGGGTGACTCCAGAGACTATGCTCTCAACCACGTGTTATACTAGCCGGGTTCAAGTGACACCTAGACCACACTTTTAATGTACTTCATTGTAATATATTCACTTTCATGGTGAATGGTTGCACCTATGAATAAATTAGAAAAACGTCTGTACTTACCAGGACTCCTCCAGTTGTAAGTGCTATAAACTCAAATTATCTTTAAAACACACCCACATATGTGGGGGTGTGAGGACATGATGTCAGACAAGAGTTACATCTAGGGGCCAAGCTATATAATCAAGCCCCATCCTTCCATCTCCCAGATCTTCTCGTATTGGTTTGTTGAATTCATCAACTTCTACAGATGAGAAGGTAGCACTCCAGATGCACATCCTTTCAGCCCACGGGTCTACAAATGACAGCAGGTTTCCCTTCCAGCTCTAGCTGAAAAGTCCCAGGGAAGGGCTCTGACTGGTTCCTCTTGGGTTGTGTGTCTACCCCTGAATCAATCACTTTACCTGGAAAGATGGACCATTTTGATTAGCCAGGACTAATTTATTTTATTTCAATAATTTCAAAAATTGGCCTACTTCTTGTCAGATTCCAGTGGGTTACTAGTGTTTATAACTTATATTTATGGTTGTTAACAGATTGATCCTAAACTTAGGTGTTATGTGACCTCAGTCAGTTCTTATTCTTTTGTCTGTTTTTGAACATTTTATTATGTATTGGGGTATAGCTGATTAACAATGTTGTGATGGTTTTGGGTGAACAGAAAAGGAACTCAGCCTTACATATACCTGTATCCAGGGCTAATTTGCTTACTTGTCAGCATGATAGGGGAGTGTGGGTGGCAGATGACAGCTCCCCCCACTCCCCAAGCTCTAATAAAGTACAAAGGGACAGTTCTCCAAATAATGAGTGGCTCTGAGCAGTTGAAAACTATAGGTGTTCACTATAATGTTCGTCATCGCTAGCATGAAAATTAGAGAAATAAAGAGAAAAAAATAACTTACATTGGATAAATTAAAAAACCAGAACTAGCTTTGGATGCTTTGTTTATATAATATATGCCTTCTTGATTACGATAAATGTCTAAACAGGGAACTCCCTGGTGGTGCAGTGGTCAGGATTCTGTGCTTTCATTGCTAAGGGCCTTGGTCCAATCTCTGGTCAGGGAACTAAGATCCCGTAGGCCCTGTGGCATGGCCAGTAAAAAAAGAAGAAAAAAGTCTAAATAAAAACTGAAAAATTCAGTCAATCATAGAAATGTTTCTAAATTTTCAATTCCTTGGGTGTTTTATGAGAAATATAGATAACTGACAGCTTCCTTTATTTTTTAGTCTGGATGATTTAATGCCACATTAACCTGGTTTAGCGTCATTTAGAATCTAGAATATGTAACTTTAAAAATCATGATTATACAATTAAAAAAAAGATTAGATTTTATGGGAGATTTAGTGTCTTGCCATAACATGCTTACTCTCAACAAGTTAGAGCTAAGCCAGAGAACTAATATAAGATATAATGGAGAACTTGTTTTGCCATTACATTTCTTAAGAGTTGAACTAAGAACTAAAATTGAGATATGCTTTACTTAAAAATTAGAGAATCATTTTTCTTTGTGTATCTTTGCTATCCTTTCCCATTATATTTAATATGTAATTTGTACAAGGGAATACAAAGATGTCTAGGGACTTTCCTCTTTTAAGTTAATGCCTTGTCTGTTTCTCTTTCAACATTCAATTTGTGTGTTAAATCCTCAAATTCCCAGTTGTAATATGGTGTGTGAAAGTAAAATAAGCATTTAATTTTGTATTGTTAAGGCAGATTTATTTCCTTACTTGCTAAATGGAGCACATTATTGAAGTTGTACCATAAGGCAGGTCCCTCTGCTAAACACTATACACATATAACTCACTGTATCCCTATTACTGTCCTGTGAGCAAAAGATCATTTTACAGCTGAGGAAACGGGGGCATTCATTTAATTCTCAAAACAATCATCTGAGATAGGTAACATTTTAACCCGATATTATTGTTGAGGAAACAGGCCTGGAGAAGGTTTGAAAATTACTCAAGTTCACAGAGCTACTTAGGGGATTTGAACCCAGGCAGTTTAGGTTTGTACTTGTGCCCTTAATCCCTGTTCAATACGTTCTCTAACTGCTTAATGCTTAGTACATTATCAAGCATACAATCTGTACTGAGGACAATTAATGCTTAACCATAAAGCATGTATTAGACCTTGTTCTAAGATGAAAGTGAAAGTGAAGTTGCTCAGCCGTGTCTGACCCTTTGCAACCCCATGGACTGTAGCCTATCCGTCTATGGGTTTTTCCAGGCAAGAATACTGGAGTGGGTTGCCATTTCCTTCTCCAGGAGATCTTCCCAACCCAGGGATTGAACCTGGGTCTCCCGCACTGTAGGCAGACGCTTGACCATCTGAGCCACCATACCCTTGGTCAAATTCTTCTCTGTAGGTCTAAAGTTACACATTTCTCATATTTCTCTCTTTTCAGAGAAAAAGGTAGAAATAACTAAAATAACTCTAATTCACCATTCTCAAGGAAAATTTCAAAAAGACAAATTTCGTAGTATTGCAGTAATTGAAGATATTATATGTTATAAAAAGTCTCACTTCAAACTTGTACCAGTTACCTGTTTACAGTTACAAGTAAAGAAGAGAGAAAGATCTACCCATTAGGTCATTTGAACCTACTTCCAAATAAAGCATAGTAGAATTATGACTGGTTTCTCTTCTGCCCATCTTTCTTGGCCCAAGAAAAAGGTCTGGACTTCCTCTCCCCTTGAAGCAGATATCTATTTGTGGGCAAAACCTGTCTGCCTGAATCACTTTCCAAAAGTAAATGTGGGACATCCAGGTCTGTTTGCATTTGTATGTGTGTGTGTGAGAGAGAGAGAGAGAGAGATCCTCTAAAGCCATTGTGACATTGAGAATTTGTTTATTGAAAATTTGTTTAGACCTCTTGTGTGACTGATTACACTACCTAGAATGACAATGGGTTTCAGGGAACCCTTCTAAATGATTAATGAAAGCATTCCTGCTTTTTTGTGTCCTACACATATTTCTGTCAAGGGTGAAGCTTCAAGTTAGGAACAGTGTTGATCTCATATTAGGATGGATTAAATTCAAAACAATTGAAGCAGCATAGGTAAGTAATGCTTTTTTTTTTTTTATTGTGCAATCCTTTAACACCTGACCATGTAGTAATTCTTATTGTTTTAAATGAAACCATATTTTAAAGTACAAAAATTTTAAGACACATTTAATAAAACTGATGGGTAAAAATTGTGATTTATTTTTAAATTAGCATGCTTTATTCATTAAGCACATAGATAGTATATAATCATATCCAAATATATATCAAATTGATACATTCAAGCATTCCATAAAACATATTCCAATTTTAGTCAATCCTCACCTTACTTTAGTTTATAAAATATTTATTATATTCTCTTATTAGCAAGAAATGAATTTATATGAACTTATGATGAAAATTACATATATTAAATATATGCAAGGGAACACATATTTTCCAAAATTTTTATATACTGTGCATAGCTACAAGGTTTGAAGAATAAACTCAACTCCTTAGTACCACTTTCAAAATCTTTCACAATCAGATCCCCAACCATGTCTCCAATTTCAATCTTGGTTATATCTTGGTATGAGTTTTTAAGACTCCTAAGCAGGATAAATAATTTTTTAAAATCATACTTAGACATATAATGTGACTAAAATACAGAAAAGTGAAATAGAAGATCTTAAAAGAAGATGAGTAATAATATATTATCTTCAAAGAAATGGAAATCAATTTTAACAGTAGAAGTGGAAGTCAGGAAGTGATAAAATAATATCTTCAATGGATTGAGAGAGAGAAAAGAAAACAATCTAAAATTGTATAACTAGCAAAAACTTTCTTTCAAGAATTGAGGGTCAACCAATTTATTGAAGGAAATTCTAAAGAATATACTTCAAGAAGAAGTAGCATAATCCCCAGAGGAAAGTCTGAGATGCAAGAAGAGATTAAGAGCAAAAAAGGGGTTAAATTTGTGAGTAAACATAAATCTAAACTACAATATAGAACTGGTGTATAGCAGAAACCAACACACCATTGTAAAGTAACTCTCCTATAATAAAAAAAAAATTTTTTAAAATCCATATAGACTAAAGGCACTTCCATAATAGCATATAAGTCCAGGAGTGATTAGAAATAGAATATTCAAAGGTTCTTGTGTTATTGAAAGTATCAATAAGTGTTATACTTTGACAAGTTAGGCTATCAAGAAAGTCATGCTCTCCTGCTCGAAAAGGCCAGCCAGAGAGAGAAGCCCTGGAAAGACAAGAAGGAGAGAAAGGGCCCAGGTTTCTAGCCATCTCAGCTGTAGTGAGGCCATCTTGGATCTCATCCAGATTGTAGCCGGACCTGCTGATACTGCCTAGGACAGAAAGAGAAGCCATCCCCATGGAGCCCCATGTGCGTGTTAAGTCGCTTCAGTCTGACTCTGTGCCACCCTGTGGACTGTAGCCTGCCAGGCTCCTCTGTCCATGGGATTCTCCAGGCAGGAATATGGAGTGGGTTGCCATGTCCTCCTCCAGGGGATCTTCCCAACCCAGGGATTGAATCTGCATCTCTTATGTCTCCTGCCTTGGCAGGTGGGTTTTTTACTGCTAGTGCCACCTACCCTACAGTCAACCCATAGAATCATGAAAAATAATAACAAGCTTGTCATTTTAAGCCATTGGGATTGTCTGTTACACAGTAATGAATGCCTGACATAGAACACTAATAAAAAGCCTACAGCAGTCATCATATCCAATGGTGACGTACTGAAAGTATTCTCTTTAGGATAGGGACAAGATCGGGGTGCTTCTGTCATTGGTTCTATTTAACATCATGCAGAAGATTCTGACCAGAATAAGAAGGAAATTAAAGTATAAAGGTTGGAAAGAAACTAACTGGTAAATATGGCCAAGAATCTATGAAAAAGTTAATGATTAATTAGTTAATAAAAGATGATGCTCTTAACGTGCTGCACTCAATATGCCAGCATATTTGAAAAATTCATCAGTGACCACAGGACTGGAAAAGGCCAGTTTGCATTCCAGTCCCAAATAAGGGCAATGCCAAAGAGTCTGATGCTTAAAATCTTTCAAGCTAGGCTTCAACAGTATGTGAACTGAGAAATTCCAGATGTACATGCTGGATTTAGAAAAGGCAGAGGAACCAGAGATCAAATTGCCAACATCTGTTGGATCATAGAAAAAGCAAGAGAATTCCAGGAAGACATCTGCTTAATTAACAATTCTAAAGCTTTTGATTGTATGGATCACAACAGACTGTGGAAAATTCTTAAAGAGATGGGAATACTATCTTACCTGCCTCCTGAGAAACCTATATGTAGGTCAGGAAGCAACAGTTAGAACCAGACATGGAGCAACTGACTGGTTGCAAATTGGGAAAGGAGTATGTCAAGGCTGTTAATTGTCACCCTGCTTATTTAACTTATATGCAGAGCACATCATGTGAAACGCCAGCCTGGATGAATCACAAGCTGGAATCAAGATTGCCAGGAGAAATATTAACAACCTCACATACGAAGATGATACCATTCTAATGGCAGAAAGTGAAGAGGAACTAATGAGCCTCTTGATGAGGCTGAAAGAGGAGAGTGAAAAAACTAACTTAGAACTCAACATTCAAATAACTAAGATCATGGCCTCTAATCCCACCACTTCATGGTAAATAAAAGGGAAAAAGTGGAAGCAGCGACAGATTTTATTTTCTTGGGCTCCAAAATCATTGCAGACGGTGACTGCAGCCATGAAATTAAAAGACTATTGCTCCTTGGAAGGAAAACTATGGCAAACCTAGACAGCAGATTAAAAAGCAGAGACATTACTTTGCCAATGAAAGTCTGATTAGCCAAAGCTATGGTTTTTCCAGTAGTTAAGTATGGATGTGAGAGTTGGACTATAAAAAAGGCTGAGTGCTGACGATTTGAAGATTTCGAACTGTGGTGCTGGAGAAGACTCTTGAGAGTCCCTTGGACAGCAAAGAGATAAAACCAGTCAATGCTAAAGGAAATCAACCCTGAATGTTCATTGGAAGTACTGATGCTGAAGTTCCAAAACTTTGGCTGCCTGATGAGAAGAGCTGACTCATTGAAAAAGACCTTGATGCTGGGAAAGATTGAGGGCAGGAAGAGAAGAGGGTGACAGATGGTAAGATGTTTGGATGGCATCACTGATTCAATGGACATGAGTTTGAGCAAAATCTGAGAAATAAAGTACAGGGAGGCCTGACTTGTTGAAGTCCATAGGGTTGGAAAGAGTCGGAGACGACATGGCAACTGAACAACCAATAATGAATCCATGTGATAAAACTATAAAGGAAAGGAAACAAAAGCTATTTACAAGATTATAGCCCTTAGCTCTAAGGAGGAAGGGGAGGAGATTGGGTAGGAAGAGGTTCACAGGTTAATTTGTTTTCTTACACTTGAAGATTGAGTACTTGACATATATCTATAATTTACTATTCTTTTCCATCTACTCAATATTTAGTAAAGGTTTCACCAAGTATTCAAAAACCCTCACATTTAATCTAGATGATATCAGGGAGGCATAACTGGAATGCCATGGTACCTCATAAAGTCTGAACTAAGCAGTCATGGTGAACTTTGCAAAAAGAAGGCCTTGGAAAGGGGACAATCTGTTCAACTTCTCTAAAAGGAAATGGAGAGCAAGAATTTGTCAGTGTCTGCCAAGTCCTCCCTTCCCGGCACCCCCACACACACCTTTCCCTTCATTCCCATTCCCTTAATACTCTCACTCCTCCATTGCCACTATATTTAATTCATATTAATTTGTATTCTCAGTATTTTTCATTTCTCCCTGCTTTGAGCAGATTCCCAGGCCCCTTCATGTTTCCTTATCCTGGTGATTTTTTCTAGACAAAATTTATCAGGCAGCATGAAGTCTAAGGCTCTTTCTGGGGTTTGAAAAAATCTCAAGTCCCTTGAAGAGGATGTGTCAGGTGTGTTAGAAGAAAAGGGATAGGAAACATTGAACCAAGAGAGGGGCAACCAGGAAACCTTCAGCGTCATAGATTACCTTCTGCCTGTATGTTTCAAATCATCTTTTCCTTCCACACTCCATGTACTTCTGATGCAACAGGACATGTTCACACTGTAATGTGACTTCTGGTCCAGCACTTTCAAGTCTTATTGCTGGGCGGGCTGGCTCAGTGAGTAGTAGAAGCATTCCTGTAGCTATTCTGATACTGGAAAACCAGCAATGACTTAACTATTTACAGAAGTGATTGCAAGTCACTAAACCCAATCAAAATGCATCCCCAACTCAACTCATTTATCAGACCCCTAAAGTAGCCACGACCACTCCAAAGTCACCCTACTCCAGAGGAATTGTGACTGAGGAGAAGTAGGAGGGCCAGGAGATGGAAGTTTTAACCGGTTACATTTAAATTGCCTACTCTTGCAAATTTTACAAAAACATAGGAATGTATGAACTTATTATGAAGCCACCTCCTATGGCCATAAGAGGGATGACCCTTGCAAGTGAGGGACCATGAAACTTAACCAGTAATAGCTTCAGGATATCTGCTGGGGGGCTTAAGGAATGTTTGCTCAAGGAGTGAGTGAGCCAAAGATGAGACATTTGCATACTAGGAATCTCTTACGTAGAGGAAGAATTTTCTATCTTAGCATATCTATCAGGGCCTGGATACGTTATCTTATCTTAGCTCCATGCTTATCAAATCTGACAGAAAAAAAATTTCCCCAGGTACCTTATATGGGAGAGGTGATGTGTACACAGCAGACCTGAGTGAAAGTACATTTTCCAGTGCACATTGATGTATTGTCAGTCTGGGTAGAAATCAGTGTCTTGAGAATTTGATTCATGTTGTTTAGTCGGTAAGTCATGCCTGACTCTTTGTAGCAACCCCATGGACTGTAGCTCACCAGGCTCCTCTGTCCGTGGGATTTTCCCAGACAAGAATACTGGAGTGGGTTGTCATTTCCTTCTCCAGGGGATCTTCCCGACCCAGGGATCAAACCCAAGTCTCCTGCATTGGCAGGTGGATTCTATACCACCAAGCTGCCAGGGAAGCCCCTTGATTTTGTAGCTGGG